TGTCACACAGTTTCTGAAAGCTGACACTCAAACAGCAGAAGCACACACCAAATCTGCAAAACCATACCATACACTAATTCTCGGCCTTTGACTCCATTTTAAATTTCATAAAACACTTTTTACAAAACACAACACACAATCTCTATGTAACAAAAAAATCTAACAGGAATTAATATTATGGCAAAGGTGTTTGCAAATGTTTGCTTTTGAGATGTGTTTGTGATATTTTGAATGCAGTGCTTCATTTTGCAAGAGATGTGAGGCATTTTGCATTTTGTGTGCAATTCTTGGATTTGTGTGTAACGTTTTGAAAAAAAGAGGCAAAGTTTTGAAAATGTAAGCAGTTGAAAAAAACTTGTAAGAAAAACTGTAATAACTAGATTGAAAAGTTTGAAAGTATCTAGGTGGATGTTGAAGTATTATGATATAAAATGCTATATTTTACGAATGCATTGGTGTACCTTTACGAAATTGTGTATGTACCATCGAGACCATGACCTGAAAGTACTCAAAAAGTTTTGAGACAGTGCCACCTTGTGGTCAAAAGTTGTAATGAAATTTCAAATAAATGCTAATAGCGTTCTGTGAATTTTGCCTATTGTAATGAGACTGATATTAATAGATTCCTTGGGTCATGCTGAGAACAGTGATGCCAATGTTGCCATAGTCAGCCAAACTTTGTGTCCGCCATTTTGATTTTCTTTAAAAACCTACTTTTTCGAACTCCTCTTAGACCGTTAGTCCGATTTTCACCAAAATCGAATCATATCATCTTCAGAACATGCGGACAAAAAGTTATGGATTTTGTGTTGATAGACAAAACCATTTTCGCATACCACAGCAACGAATTTGAGGCATGATGCCAAAATGACACTTTAGGCTGTATCTCTGCAATGCTTTGGCATATTGACACCAAACTTTGTGTGTGCCATTGTCAACTCACACAAAACACACCACATCGATTTGATAACAGCACCACCTATTGGTAAAAAGTGATAAGCCATTTAATCATATTACTAGAGGTTGTATTTATGATTTTTCAGCCATTTCAATTACAATCATCTTAAATTTGCTTTTATTACTCATTGTTGCATTTGGTGTGATGCTCCATGCCATGCTTAGCTCCTCAATTTGCATCTGGAGTGCTTGGCCCCGTAATTGCTGCTTGCAGCTATATTTTGATTTGTAATCATGTTAATGCATGTGAAATGATAGAACGGGCGTTACCTGAATCAACATTCTCATGTTTACTTTGATATAGCTTTTACTCAAAACATTAAAGTAAATAGACAAATCTAGAAATATCCTGTCTGAGCAGATGGAGTGGGTTGTAAAACCCAACTCCTTTTCCCATTTACACTGAACAAAATTATAGACGCAAATTAAAAATGTTTTTGCCCCCATTTTTCATGAGCTGAACTCAAAGATCTAAGAGTTGCCTTTTATTGTGGCCAGCCTAAGGCACATCTGTGCAATAATCATGCTGTCTAATCAGCATCTTGATATGCCACACCTGTGAGGTGGATGGATTATCTCGGCAAAGGAGAAGTGCTCACTAACACAGATTTAGACAGATTTGTGAACAATATTTGAGAGAAATAGGCCTTTTGTGTACATAGAAAAAGTCGTAGATCTTTGAGTTCAGCTCGTGAAAAATGGGGGCAAAAACAAAAGTGTTGCGTTTATAATTTTGTTCAGTGTAATTTTACTGGAACCAAACAGATCACAAACTCCTTGTACTTAACATTACACAGTTTAGAGATTAAAAACAAATGTAATTTGTAGCAGATAAATGATGAAACTATATCAAATTTGGGATAGTCACAACAAAAAAAAAAACGTGAATGAACCATCCACTACATTATTCATGCTTTGTGTTATATTGAACTTGACAGCTTGCCCACATCTCCCTGCAATTTTGTGTGATCTGATGTTTTCTAAAAGTAATTTTTGAGAAAAGTCAAGTCAAAAAGTGGATTAATCTAGATACAGTTTTTATTTGTAAAGTTTTTGCAGCACTGAATTTACAAATGGAACAGGATTCCACCTTCATTTTATTAAACATAAGTACTTCATAAAACACAGAATACAGAGCATTTATCAGAACATTTTTCATTTACTTAAAGATTAAATACATAGATTTCACATCTTCATAATCTAATTAATACATTGGTAAAGATATATAGTTTATTGTTCAATCCATTTTCAGAAGAGCAAAACCATCTAAATTTTGAATTACAACATATAAGCTTTATAGGTAACTTTCACTTGTGCCATTCCTGTGTCATAAAGAAATGTTCAGATTTGGTTCCAATAAACCAATCCTCATTCTTTCTCCCGCTCAGTGTACACATAAACAATGTGCTTTTTGTAAACCAAAGAAACCAAAATACCATACCATACGTATCACTATGGCTCTATATGTGGCAAGAAAGACTAGTAAATCATAACTTGGCTTGTTTTGCTTTGTGACTTGCTGATTCTGAATGTGAAAAGATCAGAGATGCCACGTTCATTTTGTGTTGACATGATTTTGTGTGTTTAGTGCATCACAGCTGACACCACGAGTGATGCAAGGGTCATCCACAAAGCCGTCATCATACTAGCCAGGACCGGAGACCTGTTAGCTGTAGTAATAAAAAGAAATGAAATGTACATTAATCATTGACACATCTATTACGGCCATTAAACAATGTCTTTTTGGATGTTGTCAATGCATTATTTATTATGTAGTATAATTAGAGCTGCAGAACCCATCAAACTTTAAAAAAAAAAAAGTTATAAATCATTACAAGAAAACTTATATATATAAATGTATACTGACCAGTGACTCCTGATGGGTCTGTAACAGATAGTGAATCAACTCTGAATGTGAATGTCCCATTTTTAGCACTGTCAACTATGACTTTAACCACCTCTGCCGCAGTAGGACTTGTGCCAGTTTTGTCAAATCCCAATAGACCATCTACAATAATGGAGCCACTCCTGAGAGGAAATAATGTTAAAATAGGGGATAAATAAAAAACTGTAACTGTATGCAATTACTGGTCTGTTGATCTTTCTAAGCAACTAACCATTAAACCACTCAAATAAATTATCAATCAGCTGATAAATAAACACATAGAAAAACAAATATGTGATGATGCAACAGACAGAGCTTTAAACAGAGCATTGATTGTTTTTTTAATGATAATAATTTTATGACTTTACCTGAACCGCCAAATGAGCGAGCGAACAAAGTTTGAAAAAAGTTTCTTGAAAACTCCATCAAACTATAATAAATGAATAAAACAGGAGAGATTAAAATTCTATGATGGTGAACCAGACAAATGTTCAAATCGTTTTCCAACTAAAGTATTACCATTAATCAAAGGAAAAAAGTACTTACCTGAGCAGTGATATTCTTTGCCAGAGCTACGGCTCGAGAAGAGCTGATATTTGATAGTTCACTGCTGAAGGTTTCATTCATTGTAAAGGTCACATTATATTCAGAAAGATTAAAGTCTGCTGTAGTAGAGACTATTGTCGTAGCTTGAGTCGTTGTTGAAATTGTGAAATTTGTTGATTTTTAGGGCAGAATTAAGAGAAAACGGTAAACAATTCAATAATACTCAATAGCCATATCAAGTTTGCAATGAATCTCAACCACAAAGGCAAAGTTTTGCACCTCCCACAATGTATGTGTGTGTGTCTAATAGGAAAGTGTCTAATAGGAAAGAAAATACATCTTTAAATATACACTGACCATTGGTTGTTGTGATATCGGAAACACTGATGGATGTGTTATCAACTGTAAAGTTGAAATCTCCAGATGTAATTGCATCAACAAATGTGTTTTTCACTTCTGTCAGATTAGGACTAGCGTCTGTGTTGTTAAACTCAAGCACAGAATCCGTCACAACTGAGCCCGCACTGTGGGGAACAAGCATATTGAAACACAGTCAGGCATAATTAACCAACAAACAACTGAATGGCCAAATGGAACAATCAAATGGTCACTTGATTAACAAATTGATTAACCAAACAATCAGCTGAGAAAGCAATCAACTAATCAAAATAAATCATGCATGAATCCACCTAATTTGATGAGATTTAAACAGGGTGTTTGCGAATTACCATAAGTGAATGTACTGTTTTACCTGAATTTTCGAATAAACATGCGACGGAAGTTTGAAAACCGTTTCCGGTAAATTGGAGTAAACTGTAAAAGATAGATAAATAATCATAAAAACATATGTTATTTACATAAATTTCATTTCTATTTTCTATTGAAACATCATTTCTATTTTTCAGATCAAATTTTCCTGCAAGAATTGTAGTTTTAAAACCGACATTTAGTTCAGGTAGACTAAAAAGTAAGTATTTAGCTAATTATACACCACGAAAAAACATATACGACCAGTTATATTTATTTTTAATATTGCCAATACACAGAATTATCAGTATCTACTGCTACTGCAATCAATAACGATGCCTCATTGGAGAAAAATATTACCGCATTGGTGATCTCTTCTATCAGCTGTTTGGTCTCAGGATTATTCAGATCGGAGAAGATGGGCTTGAAGGTTTTAGTAAGTTTGAACACCAAATTAAGGGATGCAGTGTTAGCAGGTGTAGGGGTGGTTGCAGCTGGTGTAGAGACTGTTGTAGCTGGAGTCGTAGATTGAAGAATAGTTGCAGTTGGATTTGTAGTTGCAGTTTGATTTGTAGTTGCAGTTGGATTTGTAGTTGCAGTTGGATTTGAAGTTGCGGTTTTACTCGCAGTTACAGTTGGATTTGAAGTTGCGGTTTTACTCGCAGTTGCAGTTGGATTTGAAGATGCAGTTTGACTCTCAGTTGCAATTGGATTTGAAGTTGCAGTTTTACTCGCAGTTGCAGTTGGATTTGTAGTTGCAGTTGGATTTGAAGTTGCAGTTGGATTTGTAGTTGCAGTTGGATTTGTAGTTGCAGTTGGATTTGTAGTTACAGTTTGATTTGTAGTTGCAGTTGGATTTGTAGTTGCAGTTGGATTTGAAGTTGCAGTTTTACTCGCAGTTACAGTTGGATTTGAAGTTGCGGTTTTACTCGCAGTTGCAGTTGGATTTGAAGTTGCAGTTTTACTCGCAGTTGCAGTTGGATTTGAAGATGCAGTTTGACTCGCAGTTGGATTTGAAGTTGCAGTTTTACTCGCAGTTGCAGTTGGATTTGAAGTTGCGGTTTTACTCGCAGTTACAGTTGGATTTGAAGTTGCGGTTTTACTCGCAGTTACAGTTGGATTTGAAGTTGCGGTTTTACTCGCAGTTGCAGTTGGATTTGAAGATGCAGTTTGACTCGCAGTTGGATTTGAAGTTGCAGTTTTACTCGCAGTTGCAGTTGGATTTGAAGTTGCAGTTTTACTCGGACTCGCAGTTGGATTTGAAGTTGCAGTTTTACTCGCAGTTGCAGTTGGATTTGAAGTTACTTTTTTTATTTTGGGTAAAAGTAAAATGGGACACAGATCAACAAAAGTGTTTCATAATTAATGTGCCTTTGAGTCCTGATTTAACGACAGTAAAATGATCAAATTAAGATAAATCTGTAAACACACACTGACCAGTGATGGCGTTGGTGCTGATGATGCTGGTGGTACTGCTGGACTGAGCAGCATTTCCTCGCACATGTAGGATTCCTGTTTAAGGTGAAATTAGGAAAATGAGGCATGGTAGCAAAACAAAACAAAATGATCATTAATATTATTACTTTGATTTTGGACATTAACGATGAACTGCTAGTTTTGTAATTATGATAATACAGCTATCACAGCTGGATTATTGTGAAAATCACTTATTGGAAAAGTATGATTAGAATGTTTGTCACTTTCTTTTTCACTATCCTTTCTTGTTGTTATTATGATTTTATTTTAAACATATAGTTTCTGACCATGAAGTCATTTTGTAATTTAAATGCAATGATGAACAATAACTATCACTAATTATGTAGAACAAGCATCACTACTTGGTTCGTACCAATTAGACACAGAACAGGTACTATAATCCTCCACTCCATTGCTATGTCCTTTTAGCAGTATGCCTAAAAATGAAAATGAAGCATATATGTATAATGCAGCAAAGTTCAAAAATCAAACACATTTTATAATATAACAGAATAAAATCTATTTAAAAATCCACATGGGTGGTACGCTTGATATAAAAATTTCAAAAAGTATCAAGAGCTGCATAAGAAACAAACAAATACAGTTAGATTGACCAAGCATTTACAGATTTAATAAAACATGATAATATATTCCACACAAAGTTTGCATTATGATTTACAAAAAAGCACACACTTGTTACATAATCTTTGTCTTGTTAAAGTTAGATTAATTTTCATAACAGTTTATAGCAAATTGATTGGATACAGAACAACTGAAAAAAAAATTCTACTTACTCTTTAAATATTGCACCACAAAAGGCAATCCAAGTTAATCCTTATAGCAAGTTCGTGTTACCTCTAAAAAATCCCTGCAGACAGGTGAACTGATATTTAAAGTGAGAAAGGTTTTTTTCATTTGAAGAACCAACCAATGAGAGTTTGCTGACAAACTTGAGGAACAACAATACCAAAATAAATAGATTTGTTTCCTGGTATGTACGTGATGGTACATGATGACTGTACAACCAATTATGGCAAACTGAAAAATCATGGCTGAAAAAATGTGTTTTTACATCTTTTAACACTTTGTGCCATCACTAGTAAAACTATACATTATTCATGTGGAAATACGTACTTTGAATAAAGGAAATTTTTTGTAATTAACTTTTTTCCCCCTAAAATAAAATTTGATATCCAATGTGTCTACAATAGTTTATAGCCAAGTATGTGTCTAATAGATATATTTTAGTCAATAGGACTTGTTGCTTTTAGACATTGCAATAACTGAACTAGACATTCTGATGTGACCTGGATAATCTGAGAATCTTTACAGACACAGTCAAATACTGTACCCACTAAATGATGAGATATTAGCCAGCTATCATGCAGGAGAATTGGCTAATTATTTTGCCTGATAAAGTAATTCAATTGTGGGATTTTCTCAAGGTTATAGATGGGGGTATTGGGTTAGCATTGGGTGAAATTAAAGTACATGATAAGAAGAGAGATATGCCTGGATCGTTCCTCTTGGACTACTCATCCTCAAAAGCAACAAATACATATACACCGTATGTATACTGACATATATTTAAAAAATAGAAATAAATAAATAAATACATTGGTACCAGGCTGGGAAGACAGCAGTCTAAATTGTCTTTAGAAAGAAAAGGTGTGATGAGAAAGGTGTGCCAAGTTACTAATCACGTTGCATTTCCAGTTCATAAGCAAAAACATGAGGAAACTATGTAACTGGATTTTCCAGCAAATGTAGTTCCTCATAACTCATAATGCATGTCCCAAACCAAAGTAGAGCTAAGATTTCGTAAATGTCCTCCACTGAAAAAATCGACATCTGATGTGCTTATCATTTAATGCATTATAATCTGTCCATTGTTTCCATGTGGAATCCTACACAGCTATTCTTCATATGGTTGCTAAGCTGTTGTTAGTGTTGCATCTTTAATTTTTTTTTTTTATTGTGACTGCTAGTAAACAGGCAAGAATGTTTTCCCCATGCCAAAACTTTAACGTCACAGAATGGTCACAAGCTTCTTATATTAATAGCAGTCAGTTCTTAAATTCCCCTGAGCAATCTGATCTTTTAATTTCACAAGACACAGCTTTTACACAGTTTCTTAAATGCTTTCCGAAATGCTGTCGCCTCTCTTTTTTTAAATTATATTTGAACCTGGGAAAACCATGATGTCCATTGTGTCATTGTTGTGTCAGCTGTTAAAATAAAAAATTAATGGGCAAGATGAGTGATTTTTAAAACTTTGGTAGTTATAAGATTGCTGGTACCAAACTGTATGTAGCATCTCATAAATGACAAATCTCTGTTTTGAAATGATATTTAAACTTGTCCATTGCATCATTTCTAAAATCAAACAATTAATGGGCAAGATGAGGGATTTATCCAATTCCAGGTGGTGCTCCCCAGGGAGACTTTTATTCCCTCTGCTTTTTTGCCATCTGTAAACAGCTTGGATTTGCATCTGCCTCCTTCTGAAATTCCTGTGAAATGTGCTGATGATCTAACAATCACTGAGCTTCTAATGGGATCCAGAACGCCTTGGATTCAGTTGCAGAATGGGGACAGGAATTTTCATAGGCAATGAATTTAGCTAAGACCATGATGTAGTGAACAGCACATTCCAGGGCCCAGTGTATGGTGGGGCCCCTCTCTGATCACAATAGTGGACAAAGGTTTGCTACATTTTGATTGGATCTTGGGGGACTAACATAAGTAAACTGTCCAGCACCATCAGATAAAGATGCTAGGACAGCAGCCAGACACCTCTTGAGAGGGAAAGAAGACAGACCTCTGGTACCAAGCCCGGGAAGGACAGGACTTCTCACTGGTCAAAATGCAGTTTTTGCCCTTCACCCACATGGAGACTGATTCCTAAGGTTTGGCCTGTGACCACCATAAAAATTCCTTAGGACCTCCAGGATCCAGCAGCAGTGGGTGAAACAAAGAGAGATCACACTGATCCATCCAAATCCATTCATAACTATGTTTTCTAACCTTAAAACTGATGCAAACTACAACACACCCATCTTATACTTATTCAGACAAATAAGTATTCACAGTGACAGCGATGTGTAGTGCAACATCTTACACAAACTCGGCTCACTCGACCAGAGAACGAAAATATCACTTATCCAAACCTCTTCCAGAGACTGTGGCATTATTGCATATTATAATTTACATTTGATGTTATATAGCTGATATTTCTCTCGAGACATAATAAGGTTCTTTGCCTTATTAGTTTCAGTTTATCTTTTCCTAAGATAACACAGCTCTGCCAGTGCAACACCCAACTGAATCACTTGCATTTTATGCATCTTATCGTTTTTCATTTATGGTATTCATTCAGTATTATTAGTACACTTGTGTCTTCTTGTTGATAATACAGTAAGAGGTTCTGCAAGTTAGATATCCCACCAAACTTTCTTATCTGATGTACTCATCACCGCACCTTAAGTGACACGTGATTCAAAAATAATAACTTCATTGGTGACGCGAGTACCCATCACTACTCTTATTTCAACTCCCTAGGTTGGCTAAAGCAAATTCACTACAATGGACATTGTAATTAGTCCCAGGAAAGATGGTAACATCCCCTCTCCTCCTTCTCCAGTAATTTTTGGACATGTAATCAGTAGAGTCTCCACTTTTAAACAGCTTGGAGTTCAGATATCATCTGATTTGTCATGCGATTCACAATATACCAAAGAAATGATTGTGGACATGAGGAACGAGAGGATAACATTTTGGCCGCTGAGGTGGAGAGAGTGAACTGTTTAAAATTTCTAGGTGTCCACATCAGTGATGACCTCTCTTGGTCACACAACACCACCCAGCTGGCCAAGAAAGCACAACAGCGGCTGTACTTCCTCAGAATGCTGAGGAAATTCGGTATGTCACCAAAGATCCTCAGCAGTTTTTACAGCAGCGTCTTAGAGAGCATCGTAACCAGCTGCATCACAGTTTGGTATGGTAGCACCATAAGCACCTGCAGAGAGTGGTAAAGATTGCTGTGTGGATCATTAGAATACCACTACCTTCCCTACAGAGCATCTACCACTGCAGAGTCCATTGAAGAGCCACTTCCATTGTTAAAGACTCCACCCACTCCCAACACAAACTGTTCACACTTCTGCCCTCAGCCAAGAGGTATGGTGTACAGTGTAAGTGTAAGGAATCCAGACTGAGGAACAGGTTCTATCCAGCTGCCATCAGAATGTTCAATGGGTCAACCGGTCACTGACCCTGACATCAATTTGAATTACAGTATTTCAATACAGACTCCTCACATGCCGTGTTCCAACTGCAGCTATTTATGCACACATGCAACTTTCACAGACTTTATACTTTGCACTGTTCTATGCTGCACTACTATACATTGCACTGTTTGTACACTTGTAATTATATGTTGCATCTTATTTATCTATTAATACTTTTTTTCTTTTTCGATTATGGCATTCAGAGTGCAAAGCAAAGTAAGAATTTCAGTGTACAGGAAAATGTGCATATGACAATAAAGGCTTTGAACTTGAACTTGATTTCGAAGTCATGTCCAAGAATCTATTATCTTAGTGCTGCAAAGACAACGGATCTCCCATGCAATGTTTTAGTGTAATAATAAGGCATGAACTTTCTTTTATGCCCTGTGCTTTTTAAATGACCTATATGTGGTGTTTGATTATGTTCTTTTTTAAGCATTTCAGATTGTGCTGCTAAAAGACAAATTTTTATTTTTTTGTGCTGCAATAACCTGCCTTGTCAAAATTTAAATAAAACAAATAAAAAAAAAGGATTATTTCAAAAAATCCATCAGAATCTTAAAAATCAGTGATCTTGCAAATTAGATTACTGATTTTTAAGATTTTGATGGCTATAGGTTTGTCATATGTAGCATCTCAGAATAACAGATCTACCTTTTGGAATGATGTTGAAATCTGAAAAAAAAAAAAAAACACGGTATCCATTGTATTATTATTATTAAGTCAAACATTAATTTGCAAGATCACTGATTTTTAAGATTTTGATGCCGATATGATTGTTCGTGTCATATGTTGCATATAAGACATGCCAAAGCTCGATTTTGGAATGATCTTTAAACCTTGGAAAGCCATGGTATCCTTTGTATTATTTCTAAAATCAATCATTAATGGGAAATTGAGTGATTTTTAAGAAAGCAAAGAAACTGTTGGTGGAAAAACATGATATTCCTTGTATAATTTCTAAAATCAAACATTAATTTGCAAGATCACTGATTTTTAAGATTTAGATGGCAATAGGATTGTTGGTTGCTGTATGCAGTGTCTCAAAAATGACAAATTTTTTTTTTTCTATGGTTTGTAGAGCTTCTATAGTTCCCTTTCGATACTACACACATACTGCGTTGCTAGACGCATATGGGAAAAAGCCTTTTTCTCCTGAACTGAAGCCTTTTCATTCACGCAGTGAAACTGCACGGCCATTGGTTCGTGCAGTGTATTAAAAACGAACCAATGGCTAGGCAGTGGAGCTGCACGAGCCTATGGCGACGAAGGCAGCCAAAGCCCGCCAGAATGGCCGGGGCTTCTGGCTATATAAGCGGGCGTTCGCCACAGGATTCTCAGATTTCTTCTCCTTCAGCGACGACTCTACAGCGACGCAGCAGTTTCGGTCCGTTTCCCCTGCTGCCATCCGGCGATATAAAAGAGCTTTTAAATGAGCAAATTGGCGTTGTTGCAAATTCCATGCCGTTACTGCGGTTCGTGCGGGTCTCCCCTGCACGCCGATGACGGCCACACGGAGTGTGTTTCCTGCTTGGGGAAATCCAAGCGGAAGCTGCGCTCACGGGAGCTATTTGTTCCCA